TTAGCATAAAATAATAATGCGGTTATTTATTTATAAATGTATAAGCACGATCTAACAATTCGGTCTGTTTTTAAATTTAGACCGTTCTTTTGTCTCTTAATATGTCATTTCCGATTTAATATGTATCATTTCATTCAATCGTTTGTTATACGAGCTCTCAATATCCAGAATTTTTGCATTGTCTCAATCAAATTTGTGCTTGTATGTAGGATGTGGATCCGAAATCACGGAGCGGGAAGACGTATTACGAGTCAAATGTCTATAATGTTCAGAGATTCTAGTACTTACTAATCGTCCCATCTGATTCACAGATGGATAAGACGCATCACAATCCTGACGATTGATCTTTTATATAACATTTTTCTTTTGAATTTGATAAAGGTCTTTATGTATGTAACTTGATGACATCACGAAGTTTGTTAATATTACAAAAAGCCAGTCTGTATTCCGAGTTCTTAAAGATGTTAATTTTAACTAAATTTGTCGGAAATATTGGGGATGTATGGAATGGTAAGCCATGACAGTTTGTTTTCCCGTGTGCTAACACTATTATCATGAGTCGACTTATCCCTTCGCTTATATATTAAATTTTTTAATCGTTTGTTAATGTTGTCAAAAATAAAATCCGGGCAGTCATTATCAAGTAACATATTGATAATAAATTGTAGATTTTTTTTGTGATATTCTGGATGTGACAGTAAAAATACCTTGTCTACTAAATTCATAATTATATCTCTTTTCTGAGGAGATGGGGTGCTGCAAGTTCAAACAACGACCTGAGAAAGTTGGTTTGTGGTACCAATTAAACACAATTAAGCCATTTTTTTACGGATTGCGAGACATCTAAGAAATTTAATTTTTTACATCTAAGAAATTTCTCTAATGTAAATTGTAGTCTCTAGTGAAAGGCATTAAAATTTTCGACAATTTGGTTAATCGCAGAAGAAGGAAACGTCATAAGAATGTCGCCAACGTATCTATAATAAATCGGCACCATAACAAAGATTGTCGCAAGCACTCCATCCTGCAACTCCTGCATAATAAAATTGCGACTATAGTAAAAGAGGAGAACCCATTGTAGTCCCGAAATTTTGCTTATATATTATATTGTCGGAAGTGAAAAAAGTTAAATTAAGAATAAACCGAAGCCTCCAAGAAATCATCTTTTGGTATTTTACAGTATTCAGTTGTGAAGTGCCATTGTTTCGACAGGCATTGCCCGTATAGAAAAGGACTATTGAGAATTATTGAGAAATATAACTATTCAGAACTATTCAGAAAACTATTGAAATTTTGTATAGTATTATGGGACATTACTATTGGAAACATGAATAATTTACTATTGGATGAATAGTTACTGTAAACATTTACTATTCATTACTATTAAAATTATAAATAGTTTACTATTGAAATGAATAGTAACTATAGGGCACTTACTATTCATTACTATTAAAATCATAAATAGTTTACTATTGGAGCGAATAGTAATTATAAAGATTTACTATTCTTTACTATTAGAATCATGAGTAGTTTGCTATTCTATTGGAACAAATAACTATAAGTTACTAATTCGCGATTTTCGTGAAAAATCGTGGAAATCTGATATTAGTATTGAATAATATGCCAGTTACTTTGCATAGTACGCGGATGCCCTGATTAGTAATTTTTTTATTGTATTTTTTTAAATAATGTTATGAGGAATAGAATGTACAAGATGTCTTATTTTAAATGACGAATTGAGATTTTTCGAAAATTATTAAAGAAAAACGAAAAAACATTTGAAATAAAAGATATACGTTTTGAAGGGAGATAAATAATGATGGTAAAATTAATTTTCGAAAAAAATCAATACATGATTTCTCCGATTAGTCTGCGTATAAAAGTATTAAGATAAAATTGTCAAAAAATTAATAACTTTACACTTTACTCTTGCACATTTCAACAAAATATAAAATATCTCATAAACTATTCTTTGCTATTATATCTTAATATTTTTATGTATAAAATAAATAAATCAGTGCATAGAAAACATATAGTTGTTTTTAAAAAAGAATTATGCAATTCGTAATATGCAATTACATGTTTACTACAGAAATTGAATGGTAACTATAGAAATCTGAATAATTCTCAATAGTTCTTAGTAGTTCCTTTCCATACGAGTAGTAATATCAGAGTACTAATATCAGATTTCCACGAATAGTCAAATCTGTCGCAACATTGATAAACGATGAAACGACATCCAGAGAGATTAAGGAAAAGTTGTTATCAATAAATGTTTCCCGTAATTTCTTGATCAATTCATAGCTATTCAAAATATGACTAAAAGCTTTGAGAACATTAGCAGAAATCAAAAAAACGGCTATTCGGTAAAGTAGTGGTATCAGTGGAAGATACAATAATTCTGTAAGAGCAATTCGGCTTGTGTATCTTCGGGAGTCCATAAGTCCCCTCGGTGGTACACCATCGCTGTAATATAATGATCTATATCTTGCCGGAGAAATATATTCTCTCTTTTGCCTCTCAAAAGCAACGTGTTCAATTCTTTAATAATTTTCCTACTCGGATTTATTAATAATGGTGTAAGTATTGTTGTTACAGAGCATGTCTTTAATTTTTGCAACATATGTATTTCTATCAACAGCCACAATTACATACTTCTTATCTATTTTGGTAAACAAGATACTGGGATTTTCTTGAATTTGCCTGTTCGTTTTTTTTTTTAAGAAGCATGTTATTGATGTTTTTACTGGAAACGGAGGAAATTATGCGGCTCAAAATAGGGATTGAAAGATTTCTAACGTGGGTACCAGTAGGCTCAGGCAATTTTATAATATTGTTCTCAATGCATTTTATAAATTTAAACACAGTTGTTTTTTATGTGAAGTGAAGGTAACGAAAAGTTCTCACCTAGTTGTAGAAGACTGGACGTCCTTCGGAATAGGGCAAGATGAAAAGTTTATGAACCATGTGGGTTTCAGTGAGGTGATTGAAGGAAGGATTTTGTCAGAGACTTCACCGGGTTCACAAAAGGAATAATTTCCATTGTTGATGGTAATACGCTATTTGTTTTATCTTTCCTCCCAAAATCCGAGCATTCCTCCAAAGCAACCCATTTTTTGTCAATTCTCTGTTGTTCTTTCAAGTAAAAGAAAGAAAGTGACCTATATTGCTTATTAAAGAAGGATTCACATATATATGTTAGGAAGATTGCTAGTAATATGCGTACAAGATGGAAAATGCGAAATTGTAGGTGGTGTGCATAAGCGTGCGCGTCATTCAATTTTTAATAATTTAGTGACATATAATTAATGTCCTTCCTAAATTTTGTTGTTGATAAATTATAGTGCAAGTTAAATTTGTCTAAATTATAATGCAAATTAAGTTGTCTAAAACAATATAAATGAGGATGTTGTGCACAGAACTTAAGAAATCTAATGCGAAGCCTATTTTTGATAACAATTTTACGATATTTTATCCATTTCAACAGTTTTACGGAATAAAGGCCGAATGTAAACAATATATAAATTTAAAAAAGAGAAAGGTAGATAACGCATATTTTTAGCCAGCATATTGTAAAAATTGAATAATTATTAGCAAATGATATTTTATTGCCTTCCACCAGAGGCTACAATTTACATTAGAAATAGGAGGAAACCATATAAATTTCGGGAGCGTCCCAGATGCGCACATTTTCAATCGGACACACCGCTCACATCAGCCGATGCCTAGGAATTTTCTAGTGAGCTACCTATCAAAAATTTTTTCATTTAATTGATCAATCGGCAATATATCCGATTGGACCTCATCCTAAATTTCTTAAATGTCTCGCTGTTTGTAAAAAATAGCTTAATTGTGTTTGATTGGTACCACAAACCAACTTTCTCAGGTCGTTGTTTGAACTTGCAGCACTTCATCTCCCAGAAAAGAGGCATAATTATGAATTTAGTAGACAAGGCATTTTTACTGTTGCATCCAGAATATCACAAAAAATCTCCAATTTATTGTCAATGTTACTTGATAATGACTGCCCGGATTTTATTTTTGACAACATTAACAAACGATTAAAAAATTTAATATATAAGCGAAGAGATGAGTCGACTCATGATAATAGTGTTAGCACACGGGAAAACAAACTGTCATGGCTTACCATTCCATACATCTCCAATATTTCCAATAAATTTAGTTAAAATTAACATCTTTAAGAACTCGGAATACAGACTGGCTTTTTGTAATATTAACAAACTTCGTGATGTCATCAAGATACATAAAGACCTTTATCAAATTCAAAGAAAATGTTATATATAAGATCAATCGTCAGGATTGTGATGAGTCTTATCCATCTGTGAATCAGATGGGACGATTACTAAGTACTGGAATCTCTGAACATTGTAGACATTTGACTCGTAATACGTCTTCCTGCTCCGTGATTTCGGATCCACATCCTACATACAAACACAAATTTGATTGAGACAATGCAAAAATTCTGGATATTGAGAGCTCGTATAACAAACGATTGAATGAAATGATACATATTAAATCGGAAATGACATATTAAGAGACAAAAGAACGGTCTAAATTTAAAAACAGACCGAATTGTTAGATCGTGCTTATACATTTATAAATAAATAACCGCATTATTATTTTATGCTAATGTCTAAACAACTTTGTCACCTCTGTCCTACGATTACATCTGTTTTATCGCCGTGAATTGTTCTTTACAATGTGACTTCGGACAAAATGGTTCTTTTACTTTATCTGCAAATCTCAATATTTCGTGTTCCGATTTGATCATGTGTTACGGATTAGTTTT